ACAAGTCACCGGGACTAGATGGCATTCACCCAAGAGTTCTGAAAGAACTCAAATGTGAAATTGCAGAACTATTAACTATGGTTTGTAACCTGTCCTTTAAATCAGTACCCAATGACTGGAAGATAGCTAACGTAACGCCAATATTTAAAAAGAGCTCTAGAGGTGATCCCGGCAATTACAGACCAGTAAGTCTAACGTTGGTACCGCGCAAATTTTAATTGAAACAATAGCAAAGAATAAAATTGTCAGACACATAGAAGAACATAAATTGTTGGGCAAAAGTCAACATGGTTTCTGTAAAGGGAAATCATGTCTTACTAATCTATTAGAGTTCTTTGAAGGGGTCAAACATGTGGACCAGGGGGATCCAGTGGACATAGTATACTTAGATTTTCAGAAAGCCTTTGACAAGGTCCCTCACCAAAGGCTCTTACGCAAATTAAGTTGTCATGGGATAAGAGGGAAGATACTTTCATGGATTGAGAACTGGATAAAAGACAGGTAAACAAAGGATAGGAATAAATGGTAAATTTTCAGAATGGAGACGGGTAACTAGTGATGTTCCCCAAGGGTCAGTCCTAGGACCAATCCTATTAAACTTATAAATAAATGATCTGGAGAAAGGGGTAAACAGTGAGGTGGCAAAGTTTGCAGATGATACTAAACTGCTCAAGATCGTTAAGACCAAAGCAGACAGCGAAGAACTTCAAAAAGATCTCACAAAACTAAGTGATTGGGCAACAAAATGGCAAATGAAATTTAATGTGGATAAAAGTAAAGTAGTGCACATTAGAAAACATAACCCCAACTATACATACAATATGATGGGGGCTAATTTAGCTACAACTAATCAGGAAAGAGATCTTGGAGTCATAGTGGATAGTTCTCTGAAGACGTCCACGCAGTGTGCAGCGGCAGTCGAAAAAGCAAACAGGATGTTAGGAATCATTCAAAAAAGGGATAGAGAATAAATATAAATAAATAAATGGAGATATTCCTATCTCAAGAACTGGAAGGGACCCCGAAAGGTCATTGAGTCCAGTCCCCTGCCTTCACTAGGAGGACCAAGTACTGATTTTGCCCCAGACCCCTAAGTGGCCCCATCAAGGATTGAACTCACAACCCTGGGTTTAGCAAGCCAATGCTCAAACCACTGAGCTATCCCTCCCGCTAATAAGACAGAACACTGCATACAGATGTGGTCTCTGCATCTCAAAAAAGATATACTGGCATTAGAAAAGGTTCAGAGAAGGTTCTCCTCAGGGTCCCATATGAGGAGAGATTAAAGAGGCTAGGACTTTTCAGCTTGGAAAAGAGGAGACTAAGGGGAGATATGATAGAGGTATACAAAATCATGAGTGGTGTGGAGAAAGTGAATAAGGAAAAGTTATCAACTTGATCCCATAATATAAGAACTAGGGGCCACCAAATGAAATTAATGGGCAACAGATTTAAAACAAATAAAAGGAAGTTCTTCTTCACACAGCGCACAGTCAACCCGTGGAACTCCTTGCCTGAGGAGGTTGTGAAGGCTAGGACTATAACAGGGTTTAAAAGAGAACTAGATAAATTCATGGAGGTTAAGTCCATTAATGGCTATTAGCCAGGACGGGTAAGAAATGGTGTCCCTAGCCTCTGTTTGTCAGAGGGTGGAGATGGATGGCAGGAGAGAGATCACTTGATCATTACCTGTTAGGTTCACTCCCTCTGGGGCACCTGGCATTGGTCACTGTCGGTAGACAGGATACTGGGCTGGATGGATCTTTGGTATGACCCAGTATGGCCATTCTTATGTTCTGCCAACATTTTAAATAATGAAAGCAACAGATTCTTTGTAATTTCAACACACTATCCCATACTGTATGAGCATTGTGCACTGACTGATGCATTACACAATACAACGAAATGCTACACCATGAAAATATTATGTAATGTTATATTCATACATCAGTAGAAGTTTATAAAAACAGTGAAAATATTTTTATGGGTTTATGGGTTTAAGTGGGAATGATCCAACTGCCTACAAACTCTGCAAAGAGAACCAGAATCTCTTGATAGACATTTCTATGTTTATAATACCTACAAGAAACTGGCCAACTAAAAATACATACTTAAAGAAGACGTGAACATATCTGATACAAATTAAAATAAAACCCAAATGCGGACATTTTGTTTTCTGCTCACTCTCAACCTTTGTCTGTTACTTGTCTTCCTAGACTGTAAGGCCCAGAACCTCAAAGGTATTTAGGCCCCTAACTCCCAATGAAATCAATGGGAGTTAGGTGCCTAAAAAATCTTTCAGGATCTAGGCTTAAGTGCTTTGCTATATAGTGTCATCCTATATAGGTGCACAGTGCTACAGTTAATACATTGTGGGTTCTACCACAGCACAGAAAAACAATACAAATAATGATTCCAATCATCCCTACCTGTAGGTTAAACTCACAGGAGAGAGGGAGGAAAATAGTTCTATGATGGGGTGGAGTATACTCCCAGTAGGATAAGCCACATGGTACATATCCAAAATGTCAGACCCTTAAGGGAATTACAAGAGGCCTAGGCCTCCAAACCACCATGCCCTCCAGCAGCATGGGTTCTGAGGATAGGACAATACAGACTGAGAATATATTATCTTGTCTGAAGTATCTCTGTAGGGACAGAAGATGTGACACTACTCTGGCCTGCCTATTCGAGCCTGCAAGGTTCCTGGATTCAGATGCCCTCTCTAGGGTCTGGAGCGTCACAGAGGGTCACTTCCATTCAGGAAGGGTGATCTCTACATAGAGAGCCCCCACTCTGCTCGGATCTGACAGGGTAATCTGGGTTGATTAATTAAATTAATAAGTGATTATACAAAAATAGTTTCCATGCTAATGCATTAGCTGAGTGTGGTACTCAATTATTAATTCCTGTGTTATTCTAACATAACTTTTTATTCATCAAACAGATTATTTTAGCAAATTTTAATAACTTAGATGATAAATGTTAATCTACAAACTAGGGCTCTCAAGCGATTAAAAAAATTAATCGCAATTAGTCACCCTGTTAAACAATAACAGAATACCATTTATGTAAATATTTGTGGATGTTTTCCACATTTTCAAATATATTGATTTCAAAAAGCTCAAGGCCTCGGGGACAGAAGTGCAGCTAGCCCCATAACTGAAACACCACACAAATTGACAACACATGATTATTGGTCAAAACACGTACGAGTATATAGATTAATCCATAATGTACTGCTTGGAGCTTATTCTCCTTCCATTCATGCCACGCAATACTGGAACCCTTATAATCTACTACTGAAAATGACTTCATTTTGTCTAGCATGGAGCTGGTAATTTAGTCTGAATATATTTTGAGAATAGAATATGTCATTCACATAGAATAAATATTAATATTCACTCTTGAGGAATGTGTTTAAATTTACGTAAGACCATGCACCTGATGAAGTTCAGGCCCGCTGAAGGAAATGACAAGACTCTAAAGGTCACATAAAAGTGACCTGAAAATGAGGAAGAATGGAGAGGGAGTGCCCCTGCTGCACCATCATCCTGATGTTGAAAGAAAACATGAACATCTCCCCAGACACAAATACACAAAATGCAAAAAACTTTTTCCTGTTTGTTTGTTTTTTAAACCATAAGTTCAGGTCCACTTATTTTCTCCCTGAAGACTATTGATCTCTGAAGAACAAGTAAATTGATATCACGAGTACCAAGCAAATGAACCCTAGATTAAATTAAAGTAAAAGTTATTTTTATTCATACTGTTTAAACATGCTTTTCTTGCTTGATTTTGTTAATGTGAATTAATCCAAAAGTTAAAAAAAAGACAGTTAGAAGAAAATATCTCTTCTCTAAAGATTAAACACTCCTGCCTCTTTGATCAAGTGCCAACAAAGTTCCCGATGCACTTCCTCTGGTCCTCCAAAAAGAATTCAAGGAAAAAACAGGAAAGACAAGATTTGACATTCCTAATATTTCTAAGGTTAGAAAAAAAACCTAGCAGCAGAAAAAAAACCCCATCAAGCTTTTTATGGATAATAAAGATGGAAAAAATGCATACATACAATTCTTTCTTTTTGCAGGTCACATACAAGTCATGTGTTAAGTGGTGTTCAGGGCTGTGCGTCGACTCCTAACTATATTTCACCCTGCATCATAATTCCACTCTTGTTTTTCACAACACCACATTTTTTAACTAATACAAACCTGGACTTTATTTTAGTCTTATAAAAATAAGTGAAAACACGATTGCTAATCTTATACTGCTCTCTCGCTGTCACCACTTCTTATGGAGACAAGGTGGGGGAAGTAATATCTTTTATTGGACCAACTTCTGATGGTGAGAGAGGCAAGCTTTCAAGCCACACAGAGCTCTTCTTCTGGTCTAGGAAAGGTACTCCTAGTGTCACAGCAAATGCAAGGTGGAACAGATTGTTTAGCATAAGTAGTATTTTGCTGTGACGTGGGAGTACCTTTCCCAGACCCGAAGAAGAGCTCTGGGTGGCTCAAAAGCTGGTCTCTCTCACCATCAGAAGTTGGTCTAATAATAGATATTCCTTCACCCATCTCGTTCTCTAATATCCTGGGACTGACACAGCTACAACTACACTGCATACCACTTCCAATGGTCAGTTTCACCTAGCTCATTGCCAAAGGAGGTGGCGGTGAGGGAAGAAAAGCAGGTGAGATGCACAAAGAATAGGAGTGTAAAATAAAGAAAAAAATGCCAGTGTATGCCTATTAGTAAAGATTATTTTTTTAAACAAAACTGCCAAAATGTAATAGCTTTAGATAAAATTCTGCACTGACCTGAAAAATCAGACATGCACCAACACCAAATCTACAGTACTTGCTTAAATTTATTACATGGAAGTGAAAGTGGCACTAATAAAGTACTATTTTACCCTTTTAAATATTAAAAAGGCAAAATGCAGAATGTTACAATACAAATGTTCCCTCCCTGCAAAAAACAAGAAACTTCTGCAATTTTACCTGGTAGATATCCGATAAGCTGCTGCTTCCAGAGTCACTGGCAATGCTACATCCAGACTGGCTGGAAGGGACATGAGTCACCTGTGGATGTGGACTGTCTGTAAGATGCATCTTGGTAAGGTCTGCTGGAAGCTGTGAACAGAAGGAAAAAATAATCTAACATGTATACATCTGATTTGAACACAAGTTACTGAATAAAGCTTTTGCTAAACATTTGATTCAGCCTTCATTTTGTAAGGCAGATTTGGATCAAGCTCACCCAAACCCTAACAGATTTTAGATTTGACATGACAGAATAGGAAGGATCCTATAAACTCAAGGTCAATCTCTTTAAAAACAAACACACAAGATGTACACCTCACCACCATAGAAGAGGCATAAAATGACAAATGGGTTATGCTAGCCGGCTAACCAGTAAATGCAGAGAAAAACTATTACTTTCCAAGTTGCCAAGTGAGGACTGAAGGATTCCTATTTACAAATACATCCATTTTAATAAAGAATAATTTTATACAAAACATTTTTGCTAAGTTTTTGGCTGTTAAATATTTTTTTTTACTATTTTTAATTGAACTAAATATACAAGGAGTGCCATACACATTCCTGATCATTAAAATAGAAGAAGCTCTTCAAATGTAACTGTTTTTTAATGTAGGGTTCAATCTTGCAAACACCTCTGACTGAAATCAGTGGAATTACTCTCAGCAGTAAGCATTTGCAGGATCTGGCCCTCCTGGAGTTCAATGAAATAACTACTGTAATCTATTTTATGCCACTATAATAGCCACGGATACCAGATTTGTTTTAAAAACTCATGTAATTATTTCTCAGCTCATTAGAGAGCCACTATGAAACTTGTGACAGGATTGGGTTTTTTAAGATCCAAGATTCCAAGTCTAGACATATATATATATATATACACACATACACATACATACATACACACACACACACACACACACACACACACACACACACACACACACACTTTCTATATTCTTTGTTAATTCATAAGAATTCTCCCAATGTAACGGGAGTCCTCAGATATGTCCCCCATATTGGTTCTGTGGTTCCATTTTAAAAAAATCTATTGAGTAAAGAAGTGCATTATAATTTGGACTGAAGCAGTCTGTAGAGAACTCCTCCTAGGATCAGGGCCCCATTCTGTTGGGGACTGTAGGCACATATGATGAAAACCAATCCCTGACACAAAGAGATTACAGTCTAAGTAAGAATGAGCAACACATTTATTTACATAGGATAAAATATTTTATACATCCAATTAATTAAAGGGTGGTACGATACAAATGTTACTGATTCAGAGTTATATTTATAAATATTGATAAAAAACTTGTAGCATAAAGAGAAACTGGATCTTCAGCTGTTGGATGGATTTAAAATAATTTGATTTAAAAAGATCATGTAATATATTTACAATGTGCCTGTCATTTACTTTTTGAAATCAGAATTATGATAAAGTAGTGCTAGCAAGTTATCCTACAAATGAGCGGGGGATGGATAGCTCAGTGATTTGAGCATTGGCCTGCTAAACCCAGGGTTGTGAGTTCAATTCTTGAGGGGGCCAGTTAGAGATCTGGGGCAAAAATCTGTCTGGGGATTGGTTCTGCTTTGAGCAGGGGGTTGGACTAGATGACCTCCTGAGGTCCCTTCCAACCCTGATAGTCTATGATTCAAATGAGATTGGAAGAACATTCATGCAAGTCAGCATATTTTTCAGTTTTCCAAATTGCTACGGGAAGCTGCGGGATTTGTGAAACCTGTATTTCCACCTGTCTGTCTTTAATACCACTTAATTTTATGATTGCTTTTAGTCAACTGGATTCATCTTGTAGGTTCTGAAACAGCCAAAACCTGCAGTGCCATAATACTACCTTTTTATTTCAAAATATCTGCATTGCTCTGGTTTCATCACATTATCATTGAAAAGGAGATATTGGAATAAAATAAATTACTGTATATACAGGTTCATAAGCCGAATATTTTTGGTAAAAATATGACGCATCGAAGAGCAGGTCTACACCAAAATTTGATGATTTTAAACTCTATGGAATCATTGAATATCTAAAACATTGTCGTTTTGGCTGGGAACGGCGAACATGGCCATAGGGAGCTGAGGGGCTACATGCCTGCAGACGCTCCAAGTAAACAAAATGTCCTTACCCGCCAGTGGCTTACCCTGATGGGCCAGGAGCCAAAGTTTTCCAACCCCTGAAATATAGGGTCGGCTTATGAAAGGGTCATACAGTTTTTGCTATTTTTACCTATCCATTTTGGGGGGTCAGCTTATAAATGAACGGGCTAATGAACGAGTATATATGGTACTTGCTTCTGCAAATCTATACCTTTCTTTTCACATACAACTGAAAACAGGAACATTTTTCTCAGTTTCAGAAAAACTGAAAAAACATTTTCAAAGAATCCAATTATGATATTCCAGGGTGTGATCCACACCATTGAGGGGCTGTGTCACCCTTGCTCTGCAACCTGGGGTGCCTCACAATGCTTTGCTGCTGTAGCTCCCAACCTGGGCCCCTCACAGCATGCAGGTCCCACCCTGAGTGTCTCTTCTGTATAGCTGCACCCTGCCAGCAGGCTCCAATCACACACTGGTTCCCCCCAAGCCTTGGTTACCACTTGCAGGGTGACCCCACTACACTCCCAGTCCTGAATTTCCCCCCAAAACCTGTGCTCTGTACTGTCCAGTCCTCTCTTGGGCAGTTTAAATATTTTAGGCCCATTGCCCCTCTAAGGGGATCAATATCCAACAGTTTGCTATTTTAAATGGAGTTACCCACACAATTCAGTTTAAACACAACACTGGATTAGTTTTGATTAGACCAGAGAATAAAACAAGTTTTTTTAACAACAAAGATTTTAAGTGAGTACAAGTATAATGCATTAAAGTCAGAAATGATAAGAAAAATAAAGATAAAACTCTTCCTAGTACTAAAACTTAAACTAGACTTTGTTCAAGGTGAATTGCCTTACCACATGTTCCCAGTAACACTGCTAACCAAATTCTCAGGCCAGAATCTGTTCCCAAAATCCAAAGGCTGTTGTCTTCTTGGGTGAAAGAGACACACAGATAGGGAAAGAGAACTTGGAGTGTTTTTGCCTTCATTTTTATAGTTCAGTTACCCTTTGAAATGCATCTTCCTGACGGTTATCCCTAGATTAAGTTCACTGTGCAAGAATACTGCATTGCTGTAGCCCAGACAGGAGGAGATTAAGTAATGTATAGCCAGGTTATCATCTGCAAGTATAAATTGGAGTCTCCTTGCCAACATAAGATGGTAGAAAGCATTACTTCCCGATATTACATGAGAGCTCAGCATCAGTGAGGAAACCAGGACATTCCTAAACTATGGACTGAATGGACCAGTTGTGGGTGCATGCCTTCAAGCAATGAAATTGCACTGTAGCTACTACTTTCTAGAAGGGTTTTCCTCTGCACATAACCCTAGCTCTGTTTTAATTTCAACCAGCTATTCTTCAGCCATGAGCTGATCTCATCCTAGCACTGAGCCATTCTGGTGGCAGTGCTATAGCTGTATGTGGTGGAGGATAAGTGGAGCTGTCTGGCACTTGAGTCCATGTCATCTTACCAGTTCACCCAAGTAGTTGCATGTAGATGTTGAACAGGACCAGAGAAAAAATTAATCTTTGTGGTACAATTAAAAGGCCTGTTGGTGAAGGTGCCATTTTCTCGGCACTACGTTTTGGCTATATCCTTTCAGGAAGAACTTAAATTTCTATTCTAGTGCATTCCTCTGGGACTGTCACCTCTCTTAGGCAGGACAGCAATATCTTATGGTTGACAATATAAAATATCACAATGCAGCACAGGAGAATAAGAATGAACATCTGTTCTCCATCCATTGACAACAGGAGAGCATCCATCTGTTCCACTAAAGCTGTTTATCTCATATACAGTGTATAGTTTTTTTTTTAAAAGTTATCTTGCACTCAATGTTTCATCTGTTTTCAAAGGGTTTGGTAGAAGGAGAGGTATTCTTTATACTTAAGATGGAGATTATTGCCAGAGAATAATTTCAAAATGGAAAAAATATGTAGAGAGAATATGAGAGAGAGAGAGTGTGTGTGTGTATTTTGCACAAGCACAAGCAGTTTAGGTGTTTCAGTGAAAACACCACTAACTTCACAGATTGACAGATTTTTTTTTTTTTTAGAGACACAAGGTGGGTGAGATAATATCTTTTAATGGACCAACTTCTGTTGGTGAGAGAGACAAACTTTCAAGCTTACATAGAGCTCTGCTTCAGGTCTGGGAAAGGCACTAAGAGTGTCACATATAAATACAAGGTGGAACAGATTGTTTAGCATAAGTAGTTAACCCATATTTCAAGGGATCATTCAAGGTGAAATGCCCCATTTATGCCCCTCCAGTCATAAGGGGGGAAAGAAGGAGGGAAAGAGTAAAGCAGTTGGGGTAGGGGGGAGTGTTAGTGGGTTGCAGATTGTTGCAATAAGCCATAAATAGTATCTCTATACAGTCCACAATATTTAGTGTCTGGCAAAGTTATAGGTAAACAATTTTTCACAAAAGCAAAAAAGTCCTCATCCTCAAAGGAAACCTGCATAACACTTTCAAAAGACGAGGCTGGGAGCTTAAATTCATAACTTTGCTAGACACTAAAAATCATGGACTGAATAGAGACACTGGATTTATGGCTTATTACAACAATCCTCTAACATCCTCCCTCCAACTGCCTCCCCCTCTCTCCCCCCCCCATGACTGGAGGGGTGTTAATAGGCCACTTTACCTTGAATGGTTCCCACACTTGTGCACAATAAGAAAAAAATAAATTGTAGGGAGTTTTAAATAATAGTGCTCACTTGCATTTCTACATTTGCACACATTTCATTAGCAGAATGTATATAAATATCCACCCCCCCCCCCAACATCCTGGCTAGATAAGTACCTATCTACATATGCAAAATCCCAGATTTCTGTGTACTTATGTGATAAATGTTCATGTAAAAGTTGACAATATATCTCATTTTAGTCAATGATGACTTGATTTTTCACAGACTCGTACAATCTCAGATATAAAATAGTGTGCTATCATATGTCTGATTTCCTGAAATAT